CAGCCAGCTGGCTGGGGATTTCTGGGAGTTGAAGTCCACACATCTTCAAGTGGCCAAGGTTGAGGAACCCTGCCTTAAAGAAATGAGCTAAGAATCTAATGTAATATAATGTAATAATTTTTCAGTATTAAGTAGTTGATGTACAAAATCCACGGTAAGGAAAGAAATTACATTTAACTCATTTCAGAATGTTATATACAATATATTGAGGTTAGTTAAATACATAATAACTCCACCTGAACCTATTATTCTTCTAGGATGGGGAGATGATATAACTTGGGTACAAACATACGAAGAAGGCCTCTATCAGGCAAAACAAAGGTAAAAAAGAAAAAGCTTAATTTTTTTTAAGGGGAGTTTTCTGTTTTTGTTTCTGTTCCAATGAATGGAACGCTTGTTGTAGCTTGTCAATAGATTTTAATTTGTCACTTACAGATTTTGTATTGTTCATTGTACTTATCTCACATGACAGGAAAAGCATGTTTTCGTTTAACCTAATACTTCTTTTCTCTTTGAAAAAGTAATAAGCCCCTGATGGTTATTCACCATTTGGAGGATTGTCAGTACTGTCAAGGTAAGCCAAACCAATGTGATTTAAAGTGAAGATCTGGGCAATGTATTTGCAAACATATACCATTCAACTGCATTCCTCTACTGCAGTACATTCAAGACTCTGACATTCCAGTCTCTAAATCAGTTATTGCTCTGTGATAAAGGAAAAATAGTTTGGAGTAACAGCTGCAAGATTTCTAATAAGAATCTACTTTTTGAGAGTTGGAACTGCATTTTAGGCTGTTTCAGATGTTACTGCTAAAGAGGAGAGTACAAGTGATAACTGAGGATGATACTATAGGCTGGTGCTTTATTTTGCAGCATGCCAGCTTTATATTTATTGATTGATTATTAAAATAATATTTTTAAAAGCTTGGGCATATTGATGCTCATGAGGATCATGTTACCAGTCACTGAATTAAAAGAAACAACTTCACAAAATATGCCTTCCAGATAAATGTGGATGTAAGTAGTTCTCATTTTCAAAATTAAATTCTTCTTTTAAGCAGAATCCCCTTTACATTTATCAAGAAATAATCCCCATTACACGCAGCGCTGTTGAATGTAAATATACGTCAGCCCAAACAATTAGTAAAGCAAAATATATGAGATGCCTCTTCTAATACATATTTCCTTTGTTCTACCAAAGCTAAAAAAAAGGGAAAGCTAGATTTAATTAAGAAACATGGAGTTAGCTCTTAAGTACTGATGAAACAGATTCTATGTTGTTCTGTTCTCTCGTTTTGTAACCAAAGACAGAGATGTGTGCAGCTGAATAACACTGATCTCTGAAGAATTTACTGAGAATAATGCCCTTTTGTCAGGCTCTGTCTCAAGACCAATTTTAAAAGAAACTCTTCAAGGGGCAGCTCTTAATTAAACTGTAGGTAGTCTCTCTCAGCTTGTCATTGAAGCTAAGCAATGTGATCACTGTCAACAAAGAAGGTATCCATGAGCTTCTGTCTTTGAGTCTCAGAGCCTTTGAGACAACCTTCTCTCACCTGAGCAACTTCTAGTTCAATGGACTTCAATTCCCAGAACTGATGTGACATGTCAGGATCAGTACAGAAAATATCTGACATTGCTTTAACAAAGCAAAAAACTTGCCTGATTGGTTCTTTTTTCCTCTTTGAGATAACAATTGTATTTCATTTTCTACAGCATTAAAGAAGGTCTTTGCAGAAAGTCAAGAAATACAGGAGATGTGTCAGAATGATTTCATCATGCTCAACCTCATGGTACAGAAATTTAGATTATACATTAAACAGTGTCTGAAGGTAATGAGGATTATGAGATGGGTGGTCTTTAGTGACTTATTAAGACAATTTAATAACTATAGTAATTTTAAACTTTTATTGACAGTATGAAACAACTGACAAGAACTTATCACCAGATGGACAATATGTGCCTCGAATCATGTTTGTAGGTATGTATCAGGCATAACCATGTCCATAACCTGGAGCTTTACCTCTGCAAAATATACTTTTTATTGGTTACTGGGCCAATCAAATTTTACTTTTCTGAGAAACACTGCTTGCTTCTATAGAGCAGCTGAGGTACAAAATGGAATTTCAATTTTTACCATTATTTCTCTATATGGATTATAGAGACTGGAGCAAAATCAGTTCACTCTATAGAAGCATGCATATAGAAGCATGTGATAATGAATGAATATCCCAGTTCAGCTTTCCCCGACTTGATGCCATTCAGATGTGCTGGGACTGCCACTTCAGAATATCAAGCCAACATGGCTCTTAGCCTGTTGGTTTGCAATTCTGGAATTTTATTTTTGAGTAGCATTCCAAAGTGAGATTAAATCCATCATAGAAGGAAACCTTAGTCTTCTCCAGATAACGAACATTTCCAACTTGCATTACTTCAGTGTTACATAAATACAGTGTGATCTGATTTATACTCAATCTAAGGCTTCAGGCTCTACTGAATAAATTGGATTAACTTGAATCTTATTTTTTTTACTGCACTTAGTGCCATCATTCAATGACAAACTAATGACAAGCCCTGATGTGCAGATATCCCCTTTACCCTGTTCTAACCCTTCAAATGTTTTATTTCCTGTTTTCATATAAAACTATGATTTGCCCTTATGGCCAGATCAGCAAATTATGTTTTTGCCCTATAAACTAGAATAGCAAACCCAGGATTTAATCTCAGACTGAGAAGAGGATCTTTTGATGAATCAAAATCTCTTCTTATCAGTATTGCAAGGATTATTCTGTTTCATCCAATTTTCTGTCTTTTAAATTGTTGAAATATGTGCATTTGTGGACTCAGATTTGTTGTAGGGAAAATAGGAAGAGGAAGCTCCATGTATGATAGCTTAAGCTCCTGCAAGAAAGGCCAGATATAATCAAATGAAATACTTGCCCTTCCTTCCTTCCTTCCTTCCTTCCTTCCTTCCTTCCTTCCTTCCTTCCTTCCTTCCTTCCTT